CAAATGTCATAAGAATCAGTAGATACAAAATTCACTATGCAATTTAAATGTTTATCACATTATTTTAAGGAATTCTATAATTATAAAAGTTCTAACACTAGTCAGGAAAGAATTTCCTGGGTTAGATTAAAATCTGACATAAGAGTATTTCATTTCACAGTTCATCAAATATTTACTGAATGCCTGTGTTACACCAGGCACCTGAATGCAAAAACAGAGATGAAGGCATGCATAGCTTCTCATGAAAGCACAAAATGGAGATATGTGGAAGGCCAGAAAAACACTTTTGAAGTATCAGTGCTTAAAGTTTAAGAAAAAAAAATTGGAAGTGGCCAGGTGAAGAAAGGCAAAGCAAATGTGAACTTTCAAACAAAGGAAAACTGAAAGAGAAAAGCCAAGAAGCATTAAAAGTCATGATGTGTTGGGCTGGGGATGTGGATCAAGTGGTAGCACGCTCGCCTGGCATGCGTGAGGCCCGGGTTCGATCCTCAGTACCACATACAAACAAACATGTTGTGTCCGCCAAAAACTAAAAAAGAAATATTAAAAAATTCTCTCAAAAAAAAATTAAACAAAAAAAGTCATGATGTGCGTAGCCACTTGTGCATACATACACCAGCACTGCTAAGAAAAGCAGTGGTCAAGGAGGAGGAAAGCTACCTCTCCCCTCATGCCACTCAAGTATGCAACAGTAACACCTGAAGGCAGGGAGTCTGGAATTTGGGGAGAAACACCTTCCCAACTTGTGATATTCTGACAGAGGACACTGTCATGGTCAATAAGAGTGACTAAATGCTCAAACAGAGAAAAGGCAAGGTCAGAGTCTTCATTGTTTAAAATATACTCAATGACAGAGTGAAGAATGAGTGGGAGGTAAATGGAAATTAGAGATAGTCACTAGTTGCTGCACAGTCCAGGCAAGAGCTGATGAGCAACTCCACTACAATAATGAGAGTCACAACAAAGTAGAGAGTAGCCAAGCAATCTTTAAAAGGCAAAAGCAGCATGAATATGAAAGTGATATGAGGCACAAGGAAAAGTGGAAAATTATGTACATTTTCCAGCTGTTAAATTTTAACTCCCCAAATATAAAATAAGTTTTCAAATCCCATATTCAACTATCTAATCCTCATTGGAAAACACATCAGAAAAAAACAGGAGCTTCTGTGGATAGCTTCATATTGTTTACTGAGATAGTAAAATTGTTATTAACCAGACTTTGTAATGTACAGGGTTTTAGAAAATACCACACTGATTCACTTTTACTAAACCAAAATCTAACCTAAAAGGTCAACTTCCAAAAAAAGAGAGAAGCAATTCTCAAAAAAATACAAAAGATTTTAGAGTGGAAGATTTACCATTTTATAGTTGAGTTTCTTTCTGTCTCTCCTTATACTCCTGACCCCACCCCTATAGCCTTCACTATCACCTTAGAGGCTATATAATTTTTTGGAAGTACTGGAAAATACAGAGATAGGCAAAATACCAACTATAACAGTTCTTAGAGGTAAAATTAAAGTGCCTCATGAGAAAAAGATTCACTGTTTTATTTAGTAACTTTAAAACTTTTCTTTCAGAGGAAGAACTAAAAGAAAGGGGACTAAGAATAGAAAGTGGGGAAAAATAATATTTGAAGTATCCACAAAAAATGTGGTTATTGATATATGCATGATGGAGCTTCACTGAAGCAAGAAAGGAATGGCCAGGCTGGAGATGCAGTTCAGTGGTCCAGCAATCGCCTAGCACATGCAAAACCCTGAGAGGAGGGAACGCAGGAAGGGCCACAAGGAATAAGGGGCCTTCCTCTGCCTGGGCCACTTTGGTGGGAGGCCCTCTACCATAAGAAAGTACAAAATGGAATAATCTCAGTTTTCACATGAAAAAGCAGTCTGAAATTAGGTGTGGCCTTTATAAGGCATTTCTTTATAAGGCAGTAAGTCCCATTAGACTGAAAAACTCAAAATAGACTCTGAAGTACTTTTATAG